ATTTTATTTTTTAAAAGTGAATTAAAATACATTTTTCTCCCTGAATGCCAGCATTTTGTGATGACAATCACAGGTGCTGGTGCTCAACTTCTTGGATTCCGATGCTACTTCCATTACTAAAATTACTACCCACGTGGGTTAACAAACTCAGGTACGATTATATGTGAGTAACTCACTATACTTTAATGAAAGTGCCAGCAGACAACGGCCGGTGATCAGTCAGTCCTCAGTTCAGGAATGGCTTATACAATTTAAAAGGGTTGTAAAGTAGAAAAGGAAAAAAAGAAAGAAAAGGAACTTGAAACAGAGACAATATGTTGCCTGCAAAGCCTAGAATATTTACTATCTGACCTTTAACAGAAAAAGTTTGCTGACTATTGGATTACCATGTTTACTCGTTGGCTTTTTTCTTTTTGTAAGATTTGTTTATTTGAAAGGCAGAGTTGAGAGAGAGAGAGAGAGAGAGAGAGAGAGAATCTTCTATCACTAGATCACTCACCAAATAGCCACAACACTTGGGGCTGGGCCAGGCTGAAGCCAGGAGCCTGGCATGGGTGTCAGGGACCCAAGAACTTGGGCCATGTTTTGATGTTTTTTCAGGTGTATTAGCAAGGAGCTGGATCAGAAGTGGAGCAACCAGGACTGGGGCTCATAGCGGATGTCAGTGCCACAGGTGGCAGCTTAACCCTCTGCACCACAGTGATGGCCTCTGCTTTCTTTTTCAAGTAAATTTGCAATTTAAAATTACCATTGTACAAATAACAAGGAACAAATGTTTCAAGGTGGAAATTTCAAAACATACTGTAAGTAGGAAGAGAGTTTTGGACAAAGAAGATTAAAATTTTTAGAAATCTATTTTCATTTTAGTTTACATGCAGAGAGAGAAAGTATGTGCTTCCATCTGCTGACTCAGTCTCCAAATGTGCACAGCAGCTGCGGCTGAGCCAGGCCCAAGTCAGAAGCCCGGATCTCAGTCTGCGTCTCTCACATGGATGTCAGGGACCCAGTGCTTGAGCTACTATCTGCTGCTTCCCAGAGCAGGCACTAACAGGAAGCTGGATCGGAAGCGGAGCCTGGACTTGAACCAGGCACTCCAGTATGGGAACTAGGTGTCCCAAGCGGCATTCTAACCTCTGTGCCAAATGCTTGCCTTTGGACAAGGAAGATTTTATTTCATTTTGTGAACTTTTGCTCCTCTGCTCTCTGGTGAGATAAACTTCTCTACCAGTGATTAAGACTCGACAGTAATGGACTGAAGGCCTGGTGCTATGTGATCAAACAAGCCAAAAGATACTAACTCATGAGGCTGAACGAGCCCTCAAATGATTCTCCTGTTTCTGTTGGCCGCCTGTGCTGCTGATGTGGATGATCCAATTACCATGGGAACCTGGGGTCATACTGGGTCTGGAATCAACAAAACTCCAGGACAGGTTCCAATTCTTTGCCACAGACCCTTGTGGAAACGAGTGTGGGAGTAGGAAAGCTGACTCAGGGAGTCTTCCTTCTAGACCCTGGTGGGGCACATTTCAGAGAAAAGAAAGTTGGCCAGAAGTAAAATCTTTAAAATTCCAGGATTGCAATTGCTTTTGAGAGGGGAGGATGTTGAGGTGGCTTTTTTGCTTGCAAACAAATCAAATGTTAACGACCTGACACTTTCTGGGTAACTGCACTGCTTTAATCAGCCTCGAGCCACGTGTGGACCTTTCATTTGTTTTTATACGCAAACAGGACACGCAGGCTATTATGGAGCAGGGCCTGCAAGTGCCACTGCAGGAAGTTGGCAGGTCTGTCAGGGAAGCTGATGTTGGGGGTGGGGATACATTTGTCTTGAATGCATGGTCTGTGGGTGGTGTTCTGTCACTTAGGGGTGGAGGGGAGCGAAATGGTGGGCCACTTCCTTTTTGACCGTAATTGGGTTTGCTGAAACTCAAACATGAGGAGCAGTCCAGCTCACAGCTGAGGATCTGCGGACTTCTGGGACACAGCCAATCAGGCAGGCACATTTGGCAGCATAAACAGACCCTCAGGAGATGGCAGAGGCGATTGTGAATCCAGCACAGATTCTGTGGTTGGACTTAACTTTTGGCCCAGCTCTTGAGTGTCTAAGTTTAGTTTGAGAAGAGAGGGTTCCAGGGGCTGGTGCTGTGGAGTAGTGGGTAAAGCTGCTGCCTTCATTGCCAGCATCCTGTATGAGCAATGATTTGGGGCCTGGCTGCTCCACTTCTGATCCAGCTCTCTGCTATGGCCTGGGAAAGCAGTAGAAGTCCTTTGGCCCCTGCACCCGCGTGGGAGATCTGGAGGAAGCTCCTGGCTCCTGGCTTTGGGTTGGCTCAGCTCCAGCAATTGTGGCCATCTGGAGAGTGAACCAGCAGATGGAAGATCTCTCTCTCTCTCTCTCTTTCTCCCTCTTCCTCTGCCTGCCTCTCTGTAACTCTGCCTTTCAAATAAATAAATAAATATTTTTAAAAAAGAAACAAAGAAGAGAGGGTTCAAGAGTCTCTGTGCTGCAACAGACTTTAGTAGTGAAAAAGGGGTTGGGTGAGGGAATTGCTCTGATACAGACTTTTGGGTTTTTCCAAGGTAAGGTCATACAATATCACTATTGTTTCAGAAAATAAAAGGGCTTATAAAAGAGATATAACATGTGACAATACACACTTAACATAAAAAGTTAACTTTGCCTTCATAAAAACCCAGCAAGATGAAGACTTTAGAACAGTCTCTGGGGAAAACTCCCCATCCACCATGTTGTGCTACCTCTCATCCCATTTCCTCTTTGCTTCTTCATCTTTCTCTGTCTGCCTTTGTTCTTCTCCCTAATCCTAAGCCCTCAATGTTTCAACCTCCTTCATATTCTTAATCACATCTGATCAGTAGAGACTTGGACCAGTTGTGGTCTTGGGGAAGTTAGATGGGGGGAGGGAGCATGTAGAAGAGCAGATAGTTGGGCTAAGTGAGACCTATCACTGAACAAAAGGTCTAGGAAGGCAAGGGTTCTGTCTTGTTTCCTACTAGAAGCCCAAATCTGAAAACATGGCCTGTGATGTGCAGGTGTTCAATAAATGTTCATGAACAAGTGAAGAACATAGAGTTTCTACTCTAATACGTCATAAATGACAACAAGGCAGTGCTCAGTGGTCTTCCTGGAGGCAATGTCAACATTTCAAACATCACTGTAGAATATGAGAAAAAATGTAATTGATAACATACCACGTACTATTATACTTTTATTGTGGTTCATTCAGTATCTTATAATATACATCTAAATATATTCATAATCAAATCTTTAGATGGAATATATGGAACTTATTTTCAAAGAACCAGTGTCCTTTACCTACAAGATGTCACTAAAAACCAAGTGATATCTGCTCAGTAAGCCTGCAACATCTCTTGCTAATCAATGCTGCATGTCACTGAGTGAGGCAGATCCACTGCAAATCTGCTGACCATTGTGCACACAGTGATAATCTGTGACACTAATCTTTAGAGAATAGGAAGGATTCATTACTGACCAGCAAGGAAGGCAGGAAATACAACTGAAATCTGCCTCCTTCATCAGGAGTGTGGGGAAAGTTATGCATGGGGTAGGAGAAAGCTGGTGGAAGGAATGCTGGTGAGGTAAGTTCTGATCAGAGGAGCTTGGACTCAGGTCCAAAACAGCTCTCCTAAGCAGGAACCAACTGTTACAACATAAGATGTGGAACTTTCAGGAAAGGAAGGGCGTAAATGAGAAGAGATTTTGAATTGGGCATCAGGGGAAACCCAATACAGGGGCAATCCAATCCTATAGCAAGCACACACACACACAAAAAAAAGACTTACTGTTCAGAGGCTGTAAGACATGCATTCCCTTGATTCCCTTGCAGGCTCCTATTCTTAAGGTTTCAACGTTCTCTGTAAAATAACCACAGATACTTTTAAACTCTAAAGTTTATGATTCTTGAAAAAACTTGTTTTATATTGCTTGTAAAGCAGTGTATATACACATATTCATACATTTTGTATGTATGAATAAGTCATTTCTAGTTGTTCAGGATTATTTTCCTACCCTGAGGAAGTGCAATAAATAGTTTCACTTATTAGATAGACTGATTATTAGTAATTCAAACTCCCTAAGATATATTTTTATTCTTAGAAACCAAGGGAACAGAAAATTAACTCAAAACAAGAGACAACGAACCAGATAGGAGCAATTTCAGAGAAAGAGTGAGAATTACACTTAATTGTTTCCTTGGTATAGAGACAAGATGCAGACTATTCTCTTAGGCTTCTGACTTTTTTTGATGAGATCAAGAACACTCCCTTCCCCTACTCTCTCTTTTTCTAAAGATCAAACCAGCAGTTTCTCTGGGAGGTGACCTGGCAGCTTTATGATCAATTCACTAATCTAGATACGAACTTTCTTCTGGAGGGTGCGGTAGGCTTGTCTTGAAGTGGAGCTCAGGCGCCCCAGGATCACCATCACCCCACCACCGGCAGGTGAGGCCTAAGGTGATGCCCCTAAGGTGATGGACACTCATCCGCTGTGCAGGTTATCTCGGTTCCGTTCTTCACAAAGCCTACACTCGCCACAGTTTCAAAGGAGTCAGAACTGAATTCAAGTTGAAAGCAGGTGAGTCGGAACATGCTAGAACTGATTCCCCAAATCCGCACGGGGAGTCACACTGAAGGATTTCCAAGATAGTTTATGAAAGGAGAATACGGGACAGTTCACAGCGCGTTTCCTGCACCGAACGCTGAGGTGTGCATTCGCATGGCGGCAAAACCCATGCACCAGGTTCATAACAGCGGCCTTCTTACTGGAAGAATCGGACAGGCAGTGGATCCCCCACACTCCCAAACTCCCAAATCAGGAGTGCGACTCATCGCGCTCACAGCTGTCTCTTGGCGCCCCCTGCCGGGCCCTTTGCTCAGGCTACCGAGGGCGGAGGCACGGCCGCGCGGAGGCGGTGAGCTGCAACGTCATCTCTGTGCGCGGCCAGAGACAGGAAGTCCGTTCTCACCACTTCCGTCGCTCGTCTTGCTCTGGACCCTGGGGCGGAAGTAAAAGCCATCTACCGCTTATAGGAGCGGTTCATGGTGAGGTTTGAGTCTTGCTGCCGAAGTGGGTTGGTTACTTGTTCTTTGTTTTTTAGCAGCAGGTCAGGGTTGAGTCTGGTGTACAGCGCAGGCCTTTGCAGAGCTGCGCTCGAGGCAGGAAGAGGGCTAGAGCGAGCCTCCCGTGATGGCTGTGGGTTTGAGTTGCACACTCGCCTGAGTGCGTGCCCTGTGCTTCAGCTGGCGAAGACAGGCGGCGCGCGTACGGATTTTGTCATTTTAGAATTCCCGCCTTTCAGTTGCTGTGTGGGGGTTCAGTAACGCAATGTTGATGAAACAGTTATCCCTGGTTTCACAAAACATATTCCTGATTCCGCCTCTTTTTCACAAGGTGCGCGGGCGTTTGTCCGCAAGGTGCTTAGTTTACAAGATAGTACCTCTCGCGAGAACATTATGTAGTGTTAGCTGGGGGGTCCATCTCCATCCCCTATTACAAAGTCCTGACAATACTTTGTCTTCTTTTTTCAAATGCCATTTCTAGCGACAGCTGTTCTCCGGCCTTTCTGACGGGATGCAACGTACTCTTTCCTTAAGACAAATAAGGTGAGAAATGCATCAGTGTAAGATCTCCACACTTAACTTGGTTTGCTAGGTCGAAAGACGACCACCCCGGAGCCAGTGGTCGGTCATTTCAGTTAATGGCACTTTAACAGGCCAGTTGTGGAGCAGAGGGTAACAGATCCTCTTTATTCCTTGGACCTCCTAAGTCGGAGTACGGGGATTTTCTGCCTCTTTGTTCCGTCCGGACATTAGTCCTCGGGATAATGGTTTTGGTCGAAGAGAAACCTCAATCTGAGAGAGAGATTGAAGTCAATCATGGAGTTATTTTTAAAATTTGTGGGTTTAGGAAGTTGGTACTTTTTTAAAAAAATATTTATTTATTTGAAAGAGTTACACAGAGAGAGTAGAGGCAGAGAGAGAGAGAGGGGAAGGAAGAGGGAGACAGGAGCCTTCCATCCGCTGGTTCACTCTCCAATTGGCCTCAACGGCTGGAGCTGTGCGGATTCAAAGACAGGGGCCAGGAGCTGCTTCTGGGTCTCCCACACATGTGCGAAGGCCCAAGCACTTGGGCCATCTTCTACTGCTTTCCTAGGCCCTAACAGAGAGCTGGATCGGAAGTGGAGCAGCCAGGTCTTGAACTGGCGCCCATATGGGATGCCGGGGCGTTAACCCGCTGCCCACAGCGCCGGCCCCAGTTGGTCCTTCTTACCTTAGGCTGTTTAGATATTTATTCACCTTACTAGATGTTTAGGAGTATGCTGAGTGGAGCTCAGCTATTGTTGACATTTTTTGAAGTTTCTTTATTTGCGGTAAAAATTGAAAAATAGGTATAGGTAAAATATTTTTTTCTGTTGCTGTTTGCACTCCTGGGCCTACTTATCTTTTGTGTGTGTGTGTGTGTGTGTGTGTGTGTGAAAAATAACACATATTCATTAAATAAAATCCCAATATTCCAGTAGTACCTAGCCCATTCTCTGAGATACCAATTATTCCACTACTTCTTTTTCTGTATATATTCACACCTCCCCTTTTAAATATAAGTGATATTTTCCCGTTCATACTGTTATGCAGTTCGTCACTTAAGATAACTTGCCTGTCATTTTATTGCAATAGGAATGCCTCATTTTTTAGCATCTCTGTAATACTACATTGCATGAAGATATATAATTTATTAATCGTACTACTGCTGGCCACTTGGGGTTCTTTTTTGTGATAGCAAATAATGTTATGATGGGTATCTTCTTTCATAACATGTGTATTCTTTTCCCTTTATTTCCTTGGAGAGTCTTCAAGAAGTGGGAATGTGGTATTATATGATATGAGCACTTAAGATTGATACATGATGCCAAATTCCCCTCCAGTAAACAATATTTTGGAGTTTCCTATTAACTTGTCTTCACCAACTGTTGATATTATTAGTTACCATTGACTTTAGGTTCAGCTGAGACCGCTGAAACCATTTTGGTTGTAAATTTATTGCATTTCAGTATTATAATCAGGACCAAGTTTCACTTACCAGTTCTTTTTTTTTTTTTTTTTTTTAATTTTTGACAGGCAGAGTGGACAGTGAGAGAGAGAGACAGAGAGAGAAAGGTCTTCCTTTGCCGTTGGTTCACCCTCCAATGGCCGCCGCTGCAGCCGGCGCACCGCGCTGATCCGATGGCAGGAGCCAGGAGCCAGGTGCTTTTCCTGGTCTCCCATGGGGTGCAGGGCCCAAGCACCTGGGCCATCCTCCACTGCACTCCCTGGCCACAGCAGAGAGCTGGCCTGGAAGAGGGGCAACCGGGACAGAATCCGGCGCCCCAACCGGGACTAGAACCCGGTGTGCCGGCGCCGCAAGGTGGAGGATTAGCCTATTGAGCCACGGCGCCGGCCCCACTTAACCAGTTCTAAGCCAATTTCAGCTTTTTTCTTCCTATGTAAACAGAATACTTATTTTATGATTTTTAGTGGTAGATTATTATAAAACAAATGATTCACACTAATAGTATTTTAGGTGAAATTAGAGATTTGAAGGAAGATTGTCTTTTTGAGTGAGATCTTGTGCTATAGGTAGGCATCAGAAGGGTGGTTCTTTCTAGAAAAAAAAAGCTGGAATGGGCAAGGATGTGTAGGTCAGAGGATTTGCAGGCAATGATGTCAGACGGTGAGGTTTCAGAATAAGAGCGGTAAGTGGAAAGGTAGTGAGAACTCAACAGTGAGGGCCTTGAAAGGCAGCCTGAAGGTTTTGCTCTGTGGAGGAGAGCTACAATAGGTCTTTAATCAGAGAATGAGAAGCATAATCTTATTTTATAAGAATCAGTTGGTGGCAGTTTTGAGTGATTAATGTTAGAGAAGCAAGTTATAAGGCTAATACAGGCTTATATGATTATAATCATATGAAAATTTATCATTCTATACTTCATTTGTAAATGATCAAGGAAATAATTGAGGTTTTAGTCACTTGCTGGAAGCTGGACATTGTTAAGTGCTGCACAGACAGGTGCAGACAGCCCTGGGTTAACCTTGTGTGATATGATGAAGGGGTGAGGAGAATGGTAAATGTAACATTTTAATGTTTGTTTACATGCCACCTCAGCACAGTTCTACATGTAATACAGAGGAATGAAGACTTGCAGGAGTGAGAATAACAAATAGTAGAGAGGTTGGATTTCAGGGATGCTGAAAATAACTGATTCTGCTGATGGTGAGGCCGAAGACGATGAAGGCAAAGCTCACTGTTAGATTTTTCTCTCAAGTTATTCTTACGATGGTGAAAGTGATATCATTAATCAGAGGAGGAGTAGTTTGGGGGCCGGGAAATATAGTCAGATTTTGGGCATGTTAATTTATGTGGAGGTTAGTCTCATGGAGAATAAGTTTACACAAAGATGTAAAATCTACTTGTGACAGATTTAGGAGAAACCTTAATAGATTTGTTACTTTTTCATTGAGAATTTTGTGAAATGTTTTTACTTAGTTTATCATTAGTAGAATTTCTGTTGAAAGTTCAGCTTTGTTTATCATGATGCTGATACCATAAGAGGGTGAATGCATCGTCTGGAGGAGTAGTCTAAATTTTTTTGGTGTGTGCACTATCAATAAAAATTGTTTATAAATATACTTCCAATATGTTCTGTATTTATTTGTTGATTATTCCGTATCTTTACTGTTATATTGTTTACATTGTAAAACATATTTAAAAAGTGGAAATTTTCAAAGGCTGAGACAAATATAAATCATAGTTTTACTCCTTCTTTTCCCCACATCCTGTTGGATTGATTTACACTGTTCTTTTAAAAAGCAGTGGTCAGCCAGAGGCCATGTTCTGTCCTGTTAACCAGTAGAGGTCACTCTTGAGCATCTGGAAAAGAGCAGCCTGTTGAGCTGTGTGCAAGGCAAAGAATATTTAGTCAGGAGATGTTATTTTTAAGTTTCTTAATTCATGCATTTTGGGAAGCATATGTGGTATTATGAAGAAGTATAGTATAGTGAGCTCAGGAGGGCACAGATCAATCTAAAACGTGCCTCTGTTTTTGACATTAACTTTTGAGTGTTTTGCATTTGAGGTGGACTGTTACTTGAGTTTGTATTTTGGAATCATTTCTCAATTATTTCAGAGTTTGCAGATTATGTGAGCCACAGGAAGGTTCTAAGCCTTCAGGAGTAATGCAAAGTTTTGTTAAAATTAGAGCAAGGGAAAGGATAGACACAAAAAGGCTTTCTTTGAAATTGATATTGAAGGAACTGTAAGTGCCCAAAATGTTAGTGGTGGGTTGTCGCCATCTCTCTGTTTTCCTTTTTTTTTTTTTTTGACAGGCAGAGTGGACAGTTAGAGAGAGAGAGAGACAGAGAGAAAGGTCTTCCTTTGCTGTTGGTTCACCCTCCAGTGGCCACCGCGGCCGGCATGCTGCAGCCGGCGCACCGCGCTGATCCGATGGCAGGAGCCAGGTACTTCTCTTGGTCTCCCATGGGGTGCAGGGCCCAAGCACTTGGGCCATCCTCCACTGCACTCCCTGGCCACAGCAGAGAGCTGGCCTGGAAGAGGGGCAACCGGGACAGAATCCGGCACCCCGACCGGGACTAGAACCAGGTATGCCAGCGCCGCAAGGCGGAGGATTAGCCTAGTGAGCTGTGGCGCCGGCCTCTGTTTTCCTTTTTATACTTAATTAGGAGAGGGAACGAGGGAAATGCCTCCTCCGAGTAAGACTTCACTGTAAGTAATTAGAAATCAAGAGCTAAGTTTGTCACACTTACATATTCTGAAAAGGAGAAAATAGAGTTTTTTTGTTTTTTTTTTTTTTTTTAAATGCATGTGCTCTGTTACATGACTTAGACTGCAAGCGACTTACGAACAAATCCTTTGATAGGCTGAATAACTGAAGAAAACCTTTTCTGTTACTTTTTTCATAAAATCCATTCTATAAATGGAGATACCCAGTAGGTATGGTTATAATCATATAAAAGTTTATAATTTTATACTTATTTGTAAATAATCAAGGAAATAATTGAGGTTTTAGTCGCTTGTTGGAAGCTGGACATTGTTAAGTGCTGCACAGACAGGTGCAGACAGCCCTGGGTTAGCCTTGTGTGATATGATGAAGGGGTGAGGAGAATGGTAAACGCAACATTTTAATGTTTACATGCCACCTCAGCACAGTTCCACATGTAATGGACTATGTAAATTATATAGCTCAACCAGATCATTTTGAAGATGAAGATGGGTTTGGAATTGCTGTTACACCAAAGGAGCAATTGACTAGACTGAGTGAGACTGGGGTCAGGAACTGTGGACCAGAGGTTCATACAAGCCAAGAATTGCTCTAATGATAGCAAAAGGGCATCATGATTCTGGAAAAAGCTATTTAAGATGGAAACTAGGTAGTCTGAGGTGTTGGTTTGCAGGCTGGTTTAGAGTTTGAGAACCAGAGGCCAGAAACAAGTCTAGTTGTGGGCAGGGCAATGTCAAAGATCTGGGAATTTGGGAGATAAGACAGAAGTGAAAGCATCAGTTTTTAGGAGTAAGCCAAATGTTTGGAAACCAGAGGTAGAGATGGACACTTGGTTTTGAGTGGCCAAGGTAGGCAAGGCCAAATTACAAGAGCAAGATAAAAGAAAGGATAATTTTGGGGCAGTGATGGTGACATCCTGCTTTTCCTTGTATTAAAAGTGGAGGCAACTTTGTGACCACAGATAATCAGTGGAAGCAGTGAGTGAGTGGATGGCTTATTTGTCACCACAGCCCCAGAAGAGCTGTAGGTCTAAGTATTTTCTTATTGAAATAACCATGATGCTTGCAGGGTCACAGTATAGTATTTTAGCTGTTTAACACATGCATTTATACAATATGTTTTGTTTTATTATACAGCATTCCAAAAGGTTTGGCTCCATGACCATTATGGCATCAAGAAACCTCTGGTGTATGAGAACTAATTTTCTCTTTGGTTCAAGATGTTGGATGATTCCATTTTCAGTAGAATTTCTCTTTAAATCCGTGTCATTGAGGCATTTTAGTGGAAAGTGTCATAATGGAGACGGCCAGCCTTTGGAGAATGAGGACCTACTGAACAACTTACTCATGATGGGAGTAGACATTGACATGGCAAGGAAACGACAGCCTGGAGTCTTTAATAGGATGGTTACTAATGAGCAGGACCTGAAGATGTTCCTTCTCTCCAAGGGAGCTAGCAAAGAAGTGATAGCCAGCATCATATCACGATATCCACGGGCCATCACACGCACTCCTGACAGTCTTTCAAAACGGTGGGATATATGGAGGAAGATTATGACATCAGACCTTGAAATTGTACATATTTTGGAACGTTCTCCTGAGTCCTTTTTTCGCTCCGATAACAACCTAAACTTAGAGAATAATATAAAGTTCCTGTACTCAGTTGGATTGACCCGCAAATGTCTTTGTCGATTGTTGACTAGTGCCCCTCGTACCTTCTCCAATAGCCTTGAACTGAATAAACAGATGGTTAAACTTTTACAGGAAGTCTGTTTGTCCTTGGGTCACAATGATCCTGCAGAATTTGTCAGGAAGATAATTTCTAAAAACCCTTTCATCTTAATTCAGAGCACCAAGCGGGTGAAAGCTAACATTGAATTTTTACAGTCAACTTTCAACTTGAACGGTGAGGAACTGCTGGTTCTGATATGTGGTCCAGGAGCTGAAATCCTAGACCTCTCCAATGACTGTGCCAAAAGAAACTACACAAATATCAAAGAGAAGCTGTTTTCTCTTGGATGTACTGAAGAAGAGGTACAGAAGTTTGTCTTAAGCTATCCTGATATGATTTTCTTGACAGAGAAAAAGTTTAATGCTAAAATAGACTGCCTCATAGAAGAAAAAATTAGCATTTCACAAATAATTGAAAATCCTCGAGTTCTAGATTCAAGCATAAGTACTTTACAAAGCCGAATCAAAGAACTGATACATGCTGGCTATGACTTGAGGACATCAAATATCAATCTTCTGTCTTGGAGTCAGAAAAGATATAAAGCTAAATTGAAAAAGTTAAATGGATAGAATGCTGGGGAATTTTCAGTCTTTTAATGTAATTATATTTCATTTGAATATGGGCTTTTTAAAAAGGAGAGATATGGTTTATTAATCACAGACACATAATGATCCTATGCATACTTTGTATTGTAGGTTCATAAAAATTCATGGTTGGTATGCTCAAATGTGAAATGCAACATCCCATCATGAGATACAGGTCATGGCTGCCATGAAGTGCAAGTTCCTGATGGAGTGCCTTAACAGAACAATGTACAGAAAGAAAGTACAAAGTAAACTTTTGTCGTTTTCTGTGTAGATTGAAAAATTGACAGTTTCTTTAGGTAGTTTAGTATTCTCTCATAATTTTGAGTGACAGCTTGTTTCTTCTGTTATGTGCCTAATTATGGCTCATCTTCAAAGTTTAATGCCAGTAAAAATTGTAAAAATATGACAAAATAGGTATTTTTCATCCCACATTCTCCATTGCACCCACCAGTGTACATCTTCCCACTCCTTACCCACCACAATTTACTGTGGATACATCCTGATTTCTTTAAAAATACAAGAGTAATTGTGGTAGGCAGAATAATGGCAGCATAAAAATATCAATATCTTAATCCCTAGAAACTGTGAATATGTTATGTTATATTGAATATGTGATTAAGTTAAAATGTTCGGTTTGGGAGATTTGAGATGGGGAGTTTATTTGGTGGGCTAGTGTAATCATTTGGATCCTTAAAAGAAAAAAGGCAAAAGGAGACAGTGATGTGATAGAATAAAGGTCCACTACTTTGTCTTTTTTTTTTTTTTTTAAGATTCTTTTTTTGAAAGAGCCACACAGAGGAGAGGTAGAGAGAGACAGAGAGACAGAGAGAGAGAGAGAGAGAGAGAGTCTTCCATCTGATGGTTCACTCCCCAGTTGGCCGCAACGGCTGGAGCTGCGCTGATCTGAAACCAGGAGCCAGGAGCTTCCTCTTGGTCTCCCACGTGGGTGCAGGGGCCCAAGCACTTGGGCCATCTTCTACTGCTTTCTCAGGCCACAGCAGAGAGCTGGATTGGAAGTGGAGCAGCCGGGTCTCGAACTGGTGCCCATATTGGGATACCGGCGCTTCAGGCCAGGGTGTTAACCCTCTGCGCCACAGTGCCGGCCCCATGATTTTGGTTATTTTCTAGAGGCATTTTTTTTTTCTGGATGTAAATGTTGAATTAAGTTATCTAATGGTGCTCAGTCTTTTTTTTTTTTTTTTTTTAAGATTTTTATTTTATTTATTTGAAAGAGTTAACACACACACACACACACACACACACAGAGAGAGGTAGGTAGGAGGTAGGTCTTAATCTGCTGGTCCACTCCCCAGTTAGCTGCAATGGCTGGAGCAATGCAGATCTGAAGCCAGGAGCCAGGATCTTCTGGGTCTTCCCACGTGGGTGCAGGGGCCCAAAGACTTGGGGCATCTTCTGCTGCTTTCCCAGGCCATAGCAGAGAGCTGGTCAGAAGTAGAGCTGCTGGGACTTGAACCGGTGCCCATATGGGATGCTGGCTCTGAGCTGGCAGCTTTACATGCTACACCACAGCGCTAGCCCCTGTGCTCTGTCTTAAACCTTATTTGCTTTCAGTGATGCCTCAAAATAAAAAAAATAATGCCTGTTAGTGATGGAAATAAAATGCTTGCCTTCCTAAGGTTGTTTGTATACTCATTGTTGTTTGTATATTCAATGATATTTTTATTATACTTATCTCTTGAGCTTTGGGATCATTTCTGTAGAGTGCTATATCTGGAAAATATCTGTAACTCTAACTTTGCTTAAATATTTTAGCTTCACTGAACTTGTTTTCTCATCTGTAAGACTGAAAATTGATCTTCCAGTGCTGGTAGGATTAAAGTGATAACAGGGTCACTTCCTTGCACATAGTACTCATAGCTATTTATTCAATGGTAGTGGTAATACAAAGTTAAAATAGTATTTTACCAGTTTTATTGATAGATAATTCATGTGCCATGCGATTCACCATTTTAAATACACATTTCCTTTTTAAAAATGTTGACAGGGGTACAACCATTGTCCCAGTCTAATTTTAGAACATGTGCCCCCCCCCCCCCAAATTGGTGCCTGTTAACAATCAATTTCCGTTATTTGCCTCCTACCCTGGTAGTCCCAAGCAAAGTGTATCTTCTTAAATATGCATATTCTGGACATATCATTTAAATGGACTCATGCAATATGTGGTCTTTTGAGTCTGACTTTTTTCAGTGAGCCTAATGTTTTCAAGGTTCATCCATGTGGCACATATCACCAATGACTCCTATTTGCCAAATAATATTCCATTGTATGGATATGGTAGTGATGGGAATAAATTTTCTTGTTGTAGTTAAAAACTTGTGCTTCTTTAAGTCTTCTGGTTTGTAGAGTATTTTCTGAGGTATTGCTTTGGACTCTTACTAAAGAACTTGAGAGAGATAGGCGGAGTCAGCACATTGTGAGACTGTTGCCTGGGCTGTAGAGAAATAGTGTACCAACAGTAGTTGCAAGTGCCCAGGGAGACTGGGCAAACAGTAGAATAAAGCACTTGACTGCTGGGTGGTGGGGGTTTGGGAAGGGACAACTTGGGAGAAACAAGTGGATGACGCCTGTCAGGGAAGATTGACATGTCATACTTTAAGGTTTGAGTCTGATTGAGGCATAGTCGATTCTTTATTTTAAAAATTGAATTGGGGACTAGCTTTGTGGTATAATGAGTTAAGCTGCTGCCTGTAATGCCGGCATTCCATATGGCTGCCAATTGGAGTCTCAGCTGCTCCGCTTCTGATCCAGCTCCCTGTTGATGTGCCTGGGAAAGCAATGGAAAATAGCCCAAGTGCTTGGGCCCCTTCACCCATGTGGGAGACCTGGAGGAAGCTCTTGGCTCCTGGCTCTTGGCTCCTTGCTAACTCCTGGTCCACCCTGGCCATTGCAGCCATTTAGGGGAGTGAACCAGTAGATAAAAGATCTCTCTCTCTCACTCTCCCTATGTAACTGTGCCTTTAAAATAAATAAATCTTAAAAAAAATTGAATTGTAAAAATTTTTTGTAATTAGTGAAAAGAAAAATCTGTGTTTATAATGAGAAAAATGTAAAATCACACAAAAATGTTATAATCTTATTACTCAGAAATAACATTTTGGTGATCCTGTTGTTTTTCTGTGCAGAATGTAGCTATACATGGATAAAATATTAATAGCTTTGTGACATATATGAGGATAATTTACCAGGTTTGTGGAAAGTGGAGTGAAAAGATAATGTGAATTTTCTATGAACTTTGGAAATAGCCACATATATTTGAGATCAAACTTAGCCGGCGCCACGGCTCACTAGGCTAATCCTCCGCCTTGCGGCGCCGGCACACCCGGTTCTAGTCCCGGTCGGGGCGTCGGATTCTGTCCCGGTTGCCCCTCTTCCAGGCCAGCTCTCTGCTGTGGCCAGGGAGTGCAGTGGAGGATGGTCCAAGTACTTGGGCCCTGCACTCCATGGGAGACCAGGAGAAGCACCTGGCTCCTGCCATCGGATCAGCGCGGTGCGCTGGCCGCAGCTGCCATTGGAGGGTGAACCAACGGCAAAGGAAGACCTTTCTCTCTGTCTCTCTCTCTCACTGTCCACTCTGCCTGTCAAAAAAAAAAAAAAAAAAAAAAATCAAACTGTATGTTATTTTTTTTTTAAGATTTATTTCTTTTTATTTGCAAGAGTTACAGAGAGAGAGACAGAGAGTGAGGTCTTCTATCCACTGGTTCACTCCCCAGATGGCTGCAACAGCTGGAGCTGCACCGATCTGAAGCCAGGAGCCAGGAGCTTCTTCTGGGTCTCTCATGTGGGTGCAGGGGCCCAAACACTTGGACCATCTACTGTTTTCCCAGGGCATAGCAGAGAGCTGGATTGGAAGAGGAGCAGCCGGGACTAGAACTGGCGCCCATATGGGATGTCCTGAAAGGCCAGGGCTTTAACCTGCTGCTCTACAGCACCGGCCCCCAAACTGTATTTTATAAATTGCTTTTCTTAATATATATGAACATATTAAGTATTCTTTAGTAATTAGTTACAGAATCAATTATTTGCCTGTAACTTGGTTTTTAATGATTGCATGAAATTTTATGATTTGGATAATTTCTCTAGTTTGTCTCTTAACAGTTGACCAGAGCAAGTAAGTTTGAGTGTATTAATTATTTTAGACAGTTCTGCCTGTGTTATTTCAGTATTCCATAGTGTTATGTATTCTACTTTTTTCCATCTTTGACATACTTTTTATTAGAGCGCAAGTTTCCTCCATCTGCAGGCTTTCTACTCAAATGCCTGCAATGACTAGAGCTGGACTGAGGCCAGAGCCTGGAGCCAGGAACCTAATCCAGGTCCCTCGTATGGGTGGCAGGGGCCTAAATCTTGAGCCATCATTTGCTGCCTCCCAGGGTGCACATGAGCAGGAAGTTGGGATCAAACCCTAGCACACTGGTATGGGATATAGTTGTCCCAAGTGGCCAACATTCACCCCTGATAGATTTATAAATTAAAATTTTGCTCTAGAAAATGTAAATGATAAAGAATACTGCATTTTGCTGTTCTTCAAATGTCAGATGGGTCCATGAAACTTCATTTAAAAAAAAAATCTGTACACTCTAAATTACTGGCATAAACTTGAGAAATTTCTGATAACTCTTAAGAGGTTGGGACAGTATCAAAGATTAAAAAGGTAAATGTTTTTCCCTTGTGCATTTAACAGGTAGAAATGAAAATGAGTAAGTATATATTATAAAAGCATTTATTGGGCCGGCACCGCGGCTCACTAGGCTAATCCTCCACCTGTGGTGCTGGCACCCCAGGTTCTAGTCCCGGTTGGGGCACCGGGTTCTGTCCCGGTTGCTCCTCTTCCAGTCCAGCTTTCTGCTGTGGCCCAAGTGCTTGGGCCTTGCACCCGCATGGGAGACCAGGAGAAGCATCTGACTCCTGGCTTCGGATCTGCGCAGCGCACTGGCCACAACACGCTGGCCGCAACGCGCTGGCTGTAGCGGCCACTTGGGGGATGAACCAATGGAAAAAGGAAGACCTTTCTCTCTGTCTCTCTCACCGTCTAACTCTGCCTGTCAAGAAAAAAAAAAGCATTTATTGGATTTATTAGTAATCCCCTTGAATATTTATTTCTAAGGCTAGGAGTAAGTACATGGTCTGACTGAATATCTAATCATATGGTTTTCATGTAAAAATACTTGGAAATTGGTTCTCTTCTTGTTAGACTGTAATGTCCCATATTCTATAGCCAGAATGATCTGGTGGAGATCTAGGAGAGAATCTGCTGATGGCAGGACCCTAGCTACAAACCCTGTGGGGATGAGGCCCTGGGTCTGATGGGCCACCAAGTAGCTTGGGAGATAGGTGCTCTAGACTGGCCAGCATATCCCTAACTGAGACTATTCATTACTCCCTAATTTATTCCTCAGTACCTCAGGAACCTGGTACAGGACCAGGCGTTGATAGGATCCATTTTGAGGAGTTGGGGAAGGCGCCAGGTCATCTGTATTTTGCTTATTTTCATTTATCCTTTAATAATCTAGAATCATCGTGAAAACCTTTGAACAATACAAAAAAAAAAAGTCTCAGCTAACCTATTTATAATGAGGTTGAGGAATCATCCTTTTGCTGTTAGTTCACAAAGGGTTTTTTTTTTCACTTATTTAAATCAGGGATGAATTAATCTAAAATTCATCTGTTAATCCTTAATATGATATCAGTGGGTTTCTTCATATCATCCTTTGTTTTATTAAAGTAAAACTCATGTGATATTCAATTTACTTTGAATTCTTCATAAGAAGGATTGGACTGTGGGTCTTAACCCTGCCCCATTTTATTGTGAAAGTTTTTGTAGGTAGGTTCTTTGTTTAGGGGGAGGAAAATAGCCACTTTGTCAGATTTTTGGTTAAGTGTTGTACTGTCCTCACAAAATTAATTTGGAAGCTTACTATTTTTATCCTTAGACTTTGGAACTGTTTGAAAATAGTGAGAATTATCTGTTCCTTTGAAGTCTGGCAGAAGTTGCCTGGAAAATCATCTAGGCCTGGTATCTTGCTCAGGATAGATCATGGACAGTAATTGAAAGTTGTGGGGCCAGCACCTGCAGTGTTAGCATTCCACATGGGCACCGGTTTGAGTCCTGGCTGCTCCACTTCTGATCCAGCTCTCTGCTATGGCCTGGGAAAGCAGTAGAAGATGCCCCAAGTCCTTGGGCCCCTGCACCTGTGTGGGAGACCTGGAAGAAGCTCCTGGCTCCTGGCTTCAGATAGGCGCAGCTCTGGCCGTTGCAGCCATTTGGGGAGTGAACCATTGGATGGAAGACCTCTCTCTCTCTCTCTCTCTCTCTCTCTGTGTGTGTGTGTGTGTGTGTCTGTCTGTCTCTCTGCCTCTCTGTAAATCTGCCTTTCAAATAAATAAATAAATCTTTTAAAAACTTAAAGACTTAGAGGCTTTTGTCTCTTTTTTGGTAAATATGAATCTTTCTCCTAGGTAGTGCAATAGCATGGATGAATCTCAAAATATTAAGCTGAATTAGAAAACTCAGACTAAGTACTATCTGTAAAATTCCTTTTATATATAAATTCTAGAAGATGCTGACCTGTAGAGACAGAAAGGCAGTCAGTGGTTAGTGAGATGAGGAAGGCTAAG